TTCTTTGTAGCCGACGGAGGTTTAGGTGCTTCTGGATATTGTACATTCCGGACAGAAATAGATTTACTCGGCTTCGACCAGTCAAACTCAAACTCACTGGCATGAACCACCGCTCTGTCAACTAGTAACAAGGATCTTAGTTCAAAGCTTACCTTTTTCTTTTATTGGTATAAACCATAGCTGTAGTTGCTTCTGCAGACGAAATATCTGATTTATCTTGCAATCGTTCTTCGTACAATAAGGCCTTAATGTAACTAAGTAGGAATACCGTATGATCCAATAATACAATTTACCTGTCGATCGAAGCACGTGCACGTGGGTTGTAGGACGTAGAGGACAGCATCTCACAACGTGGTAGAATTATAACGGATTGATTATCTGTACAAAAATCAAAACCCAATTTCTTCTAATAAAAACGTTATTTTTACCATGCATTGCAACATTTCTGTTATCCACGCAATCAATAACTAACTCCAATCATTGCGAAAAAAAAGTTGAACATTCCGCCACTCGGAAAGCACGCATTTTACGATAAAAATATGCTTGCTTGTACCTCTAGGCATGATGGTGTTTACGAGGCAGCGTTCAAAGAATGGCGTCTTGGTCGCGTAAATAATTAAGAGCGATTGAAACAAATGGATTGTTTAGCGTTGTAATGCACGAACTCTTTTGAGTCGAGAGGACTTTAGATGAAATAGGAATGTAAATAATGGAGTATATAACCACTAAAAATCTGTTTTAGTCACGGAAACAGAACGCGTTATTAGGAGGGGTTTTGCGCAAAATAACGCAACGCTGTGCTGGCAGGGAAGCCAACCTGTACGTAACTTTATTCTTCAGCTTCAGACTCAAGCATCTCGTTGCAATTTCGGAGATTTATTGCAAATTCAGCTATGAGATCGATTAATTGCTGGTATTAATTGCCCGGAATTACAGTAAAAGCTCCTGCGCATGCACGATTGCACATTTCAGTCGGTTAAGGCAGTCTGTAAACATTACCAAGCCGTCAGTGCCATTATTTTTTATGAACCCAACTTGTTGTTCAATGCTAGTAACTCCAAATAACCACCATCCCGACGAAAGCGGTTTTTCGAAAAGGGCTCGAAAACATCAAGCAACATCAGTTCTCCAGCGCACAATGATCAACGGATTCAACGATGGAACAAGTGCAATTCGTGTGGTCGTAGACATTCGCGGCTATCCTGCAGATTTTGTAATGAGCAATTGCGGTATGCTTAGCCATATCCAATCTGTCTGTAAAAGTGCGAAGTCGTGTCTTACCAAACGTACGACTGTCCATTCCTCTAAAGATTTATTGTGTGATTTACAGTCCTTAACTTTAGCTTGTACCAGTTCACGTTCCTCTCGTCACATTATTCACGACTTCATCCGTGATGACTTTATTCACCATACATTCATCATAGACACCGGTGGTGTTGATTCTTTCATTTCCAACAAAGTATTTTGTCAGTTAAACACCCTCCCTCCCCAGTTGCACTTTTCCCAACAGACATTTCAGGTAAGAGACTTACCGGTCATTCTGTTCCCGTCTGAGGATCGTGCAAAAGACGATAAATCACAAACATTTCACTGCCCGTTTTTGGTTATTAATTCCGATATTTTTGTAATTGGTTTGAATTGTATAAATTGTATTCATCTGACATTTTCATTTGTGTCTGACTCCTATCAATCACACTTTCGTCACTTAGTCCTTGAATGTTCCAAGGCAAAGGGTGGTATCAAAACGACTTCCGTAAGTCTCAAGGTGACCGGTTCTCTGGTGTTTGTGAAACATCGGATTATCCCACTTGGACTTGGTGAGCCCATAAAAAAGGCGTTAGATGAAATGACAAACAAGGGAGTTCTGACACCTGTAAATTCTTCGTCTTGGGCTACGTCATTTGTTACTCCAGTTAAACCTGACGGGAAGACCCCTGGGATATGTGCGGATTATCGAGTTACTGTGAACAGAAAGCTGAAAAAATCCTGTTGTGCCACCGTTGAACCAGAAGACATTCTGCACCAACTTCATGGATCCAAACTTTTCTGTAGCCTAGACTTAAAAGATGCATTTCTTGAAATTCTTCTTGCTGACAATTCTCGTGAACTCACAACTATTAACACACCTTTTGGTTTATTTCCCTACAATTTTCTAACTTCTGAACTCAGCATCTCCTCCGTTTTTTTCCAATTAGTAATAATTCCATCATTTCCGGCTTACAGGGTGTATATGCCTATTAGGACGATATTATTGTTCATGCGCTTAGCAGACACTTACGGAATGAACGGCC